GTTCATGTACATCAATTAAGACATCACGGGTAAGAGTAGCAAAAATCCATGAACGAATGGTTTGATCAACCCGTAACCAGTGATGATAATCAGTATTAATGATTTGGTGATTATTAAAATCAACCGTGTGCATGGGAGGGACCGGAGTGGATCCATCGAGAAAACTAAACAAACCTTGAGAGACGAGGAAAGATTCAAACTGAGTGCGCCATGTGATGTAATCTTCCACCGCTTTGAGCTTGATCGTCACAATTTGAGTAACATTGGAGATCGGAGAGATTGATTGTGCAACGGTCGCCATGGGAGATTGGAACAAAGTGTGATCTGTTGGGCGGGTGATGCCCGGTGTGCCGGAGAAGGTAGAACCGAAATACCCCGGACTGGAGCGTGGTGGAGGCAGCGGAGTAGAGTAGAGACCGGGGATGTCAGGAATTATAGGTGACTGCCATGGAAACACCGGTGGAAGTGATTGGAACAAGGAATATGTTCCTGGGACAGCCGCGGCGAAGGAAGAGGAAGCGGACTGCATAACCGGACTTGCTTGAGAGGCGGACACCTGTTGCGGCGCTGGCTGGCTTATGGCGGCGGTGGTGACGCTGACGGCTGCGGCGGTTGAAGCAGTAGAGACCGGCGCCGTGGTTGTAATAGAAGAAACGGTGGAAGCCGCCATGGAGGAGAATGAACTGGCGGCGTCCATGGCCGAAGATGAGTTTGCGGCAGAAGAAGAAAAATCGGCCGAGCTCATCGCGAGGGTTTAGAAGAGAGAGAGAGAGAGAGAGAGAGAAATTAGGCTCTTGATAACATGTGAAATAATGGGAAAGGTTACCCAATAGGGTACCTGGCAGATATATTTATACTAATAAAAGTTTCCAAAGATACAAAGGATTCCTAATTTAATACTTCCTCCGTTCCTTTTTAATTGCAACAGTCAACATTTCACGTTTGTCAATGCACGAGTTTGACCATTAATATCTTTCAATCCTTATTAGTAAAAAATTGCAAAAATTCATATTTTGAAAATTTAGAATGAGAAGAAATTAAAAATATTTTTTAAAAATTAAATTTGTAATACATTAATAAATAAACTATAGTCAAAGTAGAATGTGTGAATAGTGCAAAAAGTTCTACGTTGCAATTAAAAGAGAACGGAGGTAGTATTAGGCTATTAATACCCAGGAAGTTTAACTTAAAAAAAATATTTTTAGGGAGGACGAAAATTATTTTTTGGTATATATATATATACAAAAAAAATTGTTGGAGGGGCCACTGCCCCCCTAGGTCTCTACTACGGTCCGCCCCTGTAACACCCCAAAAATTCCCGCCCAAATACATTGATATGTTTGACATAAAACTTTTATTTATTGATAATAAAATTTAAAGAGTACAGCGGAAGTCTAAATAGGGAAATGGGTGTTACCGCCACATCCGGTCATCTCTCAACCGGATGCACAGACAACTAAAACAAAACAATAAAACTAAATAAATAAGTGTTTATTTCAAGACTAAATTTAACTAAGGCAACTTCTAACTCGCTCTCAGGCGCATGCATTCAGCAATCAACATAATCATGATCACCTGCACACATATCGTGCAGAAACAAAACAAAGAAAGAAAACAAAAATTAGATTTAGAGCTAAGTAAGTACTACCCAACCCCGTAAAATAATCAGGTTTGGCAAAAATAGATTTTTATATAATACTATAAAAATAACACACTCCATAAAAGTTCTCTTCTTCTTTCATCATCTCAAAAATCACTTCTTCTCTAACTTCCTAGTAATTTAGAAGGGCGGTGCTAAACCTTTCGACTGAGCCCGGTGGACCGTGGTTACGGACGGCCACCCCGGGACTTTTGCCGGTACCACAACTGCTAATAGAAACGAAACGACTACCTTAAGTGTGCACACCCCCTAAAAGGGATTCTAAGCCCTCCGAGTAGTAAGTCGTCACGAGTAATCAGGACTCAGTCTACCAACTACCCTACCTTTAAAATTATATTCTTGAATGATTAGGGACTACTACTATAACTCTACTTCTTAAAAGGGATCATCGATCCAATCATCACTGAAAACTTATTCTCACCCTTAGCAGTAGTAGCCCTTTTACGTCGGAACTACTACTACTACCACAACTCTCCTTCTTAAAAGGGATCATCGATCCGAAAGTTACTCAAAAATCTCTTCTTAGTAGTAGCCGTTCTAATCACCCTCCACATTTATCCGGATGTGGAAAACCGACACCGCGGATTTCTCCCGCGGTGCTCACTTCTTATGAAAACGTAATTTTTATCTTGGCTTTAGATATACTTCTAAAAATATTTCTCAATCTCTCTAAATAATCTCAAAGGTATTTAAAAATATTTAATACCCTAAAAAGTACTCTTGATTTGTATTCATCAAAATCTCATACACATAATTCAAAATTCACACTTAATCACATAATTAATGCATAATAAGCATATAATACGAGGAAACAATTTTGGATTGGCAGAGAAACTTACCTTAAATTCCAGATATTCCTAACAAGCTTCTCTAACGCCTTCCTCTCCAAGTTCACCTTCTATTAATTAAATTTCACAATAAGTATATTATTCTATTTTTCCGTAGTTTTATTGCTTTATTGGATCGTTAATTTAATCAAGTCGAGGTTATTTTGTTTTACTACTTTTACCCAATTCCTTATTATTTATCAATATGAAATTAAGCGGTGTAGTCTATTAATTATAGTAATTTTATTTGATCCATTATCGAATCATTAATTTAATCTAATATGTATACCATTGGTTTCTGTTCATAGATAACGAGTCAAGTAATTCTGTTACTCTGTTTATTTACTCCCATACAATTCAATATTTCATTACATTACAAATAGTCAGTCAAATAGTCTACCTGTTTTATTTCATCACTACGATCCATTAATTGACCTATTACTATAACAATTCAATCGGTCCACTCGTAAACGTTCCATTTTAATTTAATTGGTTCATTGCTTATCATTAGATTATTAAATCCTCACCATCATTAACTTCAGTTTTAACAAATAAAACAATCGGCCCTACTCAATTTATTTTTATTAGTTCAGTCTAAGTTTCATTTTAATAAAGTTGATCCAAAAATAAAATAAAAGGTTCAGTTATAACAACAATTCAGTTCGTTATCATAGTCTCTAAATGCAGTCCATTATGATCATCTATTTTATTTTCATATTCGTCGTGTACTTTAATATAATCCAATGTCCATTTTATAGTAATTCAATCGGTGAAATTGAAATAGTCAAAGTTCCATATCCTTAATTTGTATATAGGCCATAAATTTCAAAATCAATAACCAAGCCGTTATTATTATCACTTTTATTACCGGTTATTATTTCCTTATTATTATTGGTATCATCATTAGCATCACTATTCTTGTCAATACATAACTACTGCTCTTAATATCAGTCAAATTTTTCATTTTAATCCAATTACTCCATTCGGTAATATAATAATCATTCAATTTTATTTAGATCATTAATTTTATAACTACTAACCATTCCATATATTATTATTACGTTCATATGTTATGCGAAGTAGTTGTCATTAACTTATTTATTTTCGAACAGTTCATCATATAATAGGTAAATAGTCCAAATCGGTTTAGTTTTATTATTTCAGTCCAGTTTATTTTAATTAGAGTCGATCCATAAATCAAAGAAATGGTCTTTCGTATATACTTTGGCCGTTTTCTCTACCGACTCTACGTAACTGCCCGAACAACTAAGAATGCAGGTGTGCAGGTTACCTCTCTTGGCGATGCTTTCGTGACACGGTGACGGCAGCGTAGACCAGTGATTGGTGCCCGGCGGTTTCGTCCTCCAGAAATGCCCGGCAGAAACCTGCAGCGTCCTTCCTTCTCCGGCGATCTCCGGCACACCACGATCAGCCTTTTTCCCTCTTCCGAACGTTCACCCTCTCGCTCTCACCGTTATCTCTTTCGAAGTATTTTTTTTTATTTCTCTTTTTCTGCCTGCGGCGCGGGTCGTTGGTTGTGGGTGATTTGATCGAAACACTGATATTTATAGTTGAGGCTCGAAGGTTCTAGGTCTCATCCGATTAGCAGATTAGCTTTGGCGAACGAAGAATACGGAGGTCGTTGGCAATTCATTCGTTCGTCATTCTTATCGCCTCACATGCGGCAGACTATTACTTGCACACGAAGTATTATTATGTGCTGCGTATTACGTACGTACATTTATTGTTATATATTTTAAGTTTGAAAAGTCAAATTCCCTTCATAATTATTTCAAATTCGTAAGCATGTGTCGCACTATATATATACACTACAAAAAAACACGGGCGTAGTCACGGATTTAGTCACGGACTGCAGTGTAAAAATTCTGTGACTAAAAAGGTTAGTCACGGTCATCAGCTGTGACTAAATCCGTGTCTTAATTGGCGTGACTAAATGAAGTCACCGCCACATAACCGTGACTAAATTTAGTCACGGGTTAGTCACGGTCAAGGCCCGTGACTATATCCATGCCGGAAACCCCACTCCGACGTGTTAGTCACGGCTTGTGACCGTGACTATAATTTTTTTTTTTAAAATAAATATTAGTCACGGCTGTGGGCCGTGACTAATGTTTCAAACTTTCAAAATTTTCAAAATACCGCCCGCGGGTGTAATCTAAATTTTTGAAATTAGTCACGGTTGTCGACCGTGACTAAGCTTTTTTTTAAAAAAAAATAATGTTTTTAATTAAAAACAAATAATAATTTCGAATTAACTGTAGTCACGGGATAAGGCCGTGACTACTATTTTTGTTTTTTAAAAAAAAAATCCATTTTTTTTAAAGTTGTTTTTAAAAATTACTTTTTTATACGTATTTTTACAAATTAAATTTAAAAATTACTTTTTTATACGTATTTTTACAAATTAAATTTAAAAATGTTTTTTGAAAATTGAGTTATTGAAAATATTATTCTAATTTTTTAAATTTAAAATTACATTTTAAAGAGTAAAGACATACAACAAACTTAATAAATATTGTGACAAACTTTTAAATGTTTTGACATAGAACAAAGTATAAATGTATGATGATTACATGTCCCTTCGTGGGACTCCATTATGGAAAAAATTATGATTTTCTTCTTCTTCTTCTTCATCATCATCATCAACAAGAAACTCATCTGGGTTCACGGGGGGGTCTTCGGGGTCAGGTCGGGTTCCTCCTCGGGGTGCTCCTCGGGGTCCTCCTCGGGGTCCATGGCTCGGTGGACCACTACCTCCTCCGGATGACCTCGCAAAATCAAAGGACATAGATCCGAAATTCGGGGAGATCATATGTCACGCCCCGGACCTATCCGGACACGTCAACAACCCGCCGTACAATACGAATAGTCAACCGCAGTCCAACACATTCATATCATACAAGGCGTCTTGAATATCATTCACACATATACATCCATAAACAAACATAATAAGTAATTCATAACGCAGCGGAAAACATTGTTTAAAACAAAAGGGCCACACATGGCTATTCATGAGCACGCAGGCTCTATTGTAAAATATCCATGAGCATGTTTATTAATGTTTAAAAAAACAGAATGGAGGAAGCACGAACCAAGTCTTCCCTCCTAGATGAATCTCTCGAGCAACGAGCACAGGAAGCAAGCTCTAGCCTCAACCTGAAAAATGGTGGTGGGACGCCCCCGAAGGGGTCAGCACTCTATAGGGCTATAAAGTGCTGGTGTGGATGGCATCTAATAGATATACAACAAGTATTTCAAACACAAGACCCTCAAATAGGGTGATAATATAATCTAGGCCGTAACCCCAAGTTACCCCGTTTTAAAATATACTTACTTTATATATAAAGTCAAGTAGTCGGCCCGTAGGCCCAAGGTTTGTTTATCAAACATACCCCAAAATCCCGTGACCCCTAGTCACAACAATACATAGGGTTCAACCCCAACACATATGTTTGCATCTCGAGTCCAACTCGACTACATCACCATGCACCTTAATTAACATAAGCTAACTACTCCACCGTGCATTTCTTGAGTCCAACTCAACTACATCACCATGCACAACAATCATCTCATCATGTCTACCCAATGCAATTCTATGAGCACGGGCTCAAGTACATCTCCTTACATTGGCATAGACCCCAATTCCTAAGCACTCACTATGCCTAGAATTGTAATATCAATAATCTATTTTGGGACATCCCTACGGACTGCCCAACCATGGTCTTAGCATCACATTACATCAAATTTGTCACTTGCATCACAATCAAGTACCTCAATTATAATCAAATCCTTAGATTCAATTCCCTTAACAATTACAACAATCATTAACTAGTATTTCAATACTATTAAGATTTTTCTTATCCATCATATATTCCATTTGTATAACCCTACATATTTAGAGATATGTAGCAGCAACTTAATCATTCAATGCAATACATAAATAATCATTTATGTATCTATACAATTCACACATGGATAAAATGACTATTTCACCCAATAGTTCACTTAATCCCATTTTTATCAATACTTTACCAAATCATTTCTCATTTCATTCTTTGGAAAGTAGATCAATATTTCATCAATAATTTATCATCATAATCCATGATATGGAAAACATAATTTGAGCATTTAGGTAATCTCATGCTTAACCTACAAGTTGTAAGCAACTAGATGTCGATCCTCACCTCAAATGAGCTTTAAAACTTTCCTTCTCGATCCAATGACCAAAGCCTCGGCCAAGGAAGATTGAGAACTGGTTCCTTGCTTGAAAATGGGTGTTAAACAGCTTCCTCAAGTTGCTAATTCAACCCCTAACCGTTGATACTAAAACAGCCCCTAGAACGGGTGTTTTCCGGCTAACTCGATTCCTAGTTTTCCAATATTTGCTCTAGGTTAGTATCTAACCTTTACATCAATCAAAATAACTTTACAAGGACATATTATAAACTTGGATTAGTGTACAATAGTCCCACCAATCGTTCATATCATTTGGAAAATGAATGGAAAGGACTTGGGATTAACAACTCACTTAGAAGAGTAAATCCGTTCCTGCGAGGTCGCGTTCTGCTCGGGCGATTTGGAAGCCTTCCTCTACTCCGATTGATGCAAACCAGACCTTCACGGATTCCTCGTCTTGAGATCTTTCTTTTGGTATCTCACACGCCTTAATTGGATTGGTAGAACTCGAGATATCAACCAAACAGTCTCAGCACTCTCACAGCTCGGGTTCACAGACCACTGCTCGTTCCAGATCGATTTTTGGATGATTACTCTCTCCTATCGAACAGAGACCACACAATTATAAACACAGACTTCAAAAGCTATCCAAGGACACCTCATTCACCTTATTTGGCCGAGTATAACATCACTCATGAAGGGAGACAACCAGCACCACTCTTTTGTGCGAAAATTGACTAGGTGGGGTTCCCTCTTGTTTCCTTTGTCAAGTCCAGCCCCTAGAGTCAGCTATGGCAGTCTCCTAACCTTATTTATCTTGTATTGCAGGTGGAAAAGAAGGGATGGGGCGCAGCATGTGTTCCCCAATTATTTTTTTGGGAGCAAAACATTAATCAATACATCCAAAAATGGAAGAATGGGTCCTATTGTTTTATCTTTTGTCAAAGATGTCTTTTTGTACTCATCCTAATTTATTTAGAACAAGTCAACTTCCTATATAACATTATTGATCTCCAATATGTGTAGGCTCATCTCAATAATTTACTTGATGGATAATATAGAAGGAAAATCCTACTCCCATTATTTGGCTCAATAATGCCAAAGATGGGGTTATAGGCATTTGTACTCTTCTTTAATCATCCTATCACTTATTTTGACATTTGTCATTCATATTATTGGGCTACAAGCCGTGTGGGTCGCCCCCGAGTGGGCCTACGACGCCGTCCTCAAATATTTGCTATTTTAGCGGGTTGAGCCCAAAATAATATATGGGCTGCCCGCCCTTCCTCAACTTGTCTTGAAACGTTATGTATAACTATTTAGATAATGCTAGGATCTTTTATTTATTAATAAGGCCCAAACGAGTATTCGCAAGCCCAACACTAATGTACGAGTTCGAGCGGTATAATAATCGATCATGAATTACGTAAGACATCAATCGTTTTACATACGTTTGGGAATCAGAAATCCAATACATAAACTTTGAATTCTAAATCAAATTTTCAAGGACGTTCGGGAGCGGTGTCACAAGTTCACCCCCCCTTAACAGGAATTTCGTCCCCGAAATTCACAGCTCTACTCGAATAGGAAAGAATACTGCTTCCTCATCAAAGCTTCTGTTTCCCAAGTCTCTTCCTCGACCCGGTCACTTTTCCAAAGGACTTTAACCATTGGAACTTCTTTACTCCTCAGTTTCTTCACTTTTCTGTCAATAACTCTTACCGGTTGCACGGCATAGTTCAAGTCTTCACGTACCTCCACGGGCGGCTTCTCCAACACATGAGAAGGATCACGCACATACTTCTTAAGCATGGACACGTGAAATACATTATGAATCTTCTCCAACTCAGGAGTCAACTGTAGACGATATGCTACGGCCCCAACCTTCTCTATAATTCTGAATGGGCCTATATATCGTGGGTTAAGCTTTCCTCGGGTTTGGAATCGAATGATTCCTTTCCAAGGAGAAACTTTCAGGAATACCTCGTCGTCAACCTTAAACTCTAAGGTCCTTCGACGCTTATCTGCATAACTCTTTTGTCTATCCTGAGCTGCCTTGAGTCTCTCTCGAATCAACTTCACCTTTGACTTGGTGACCTCAACCAAATCAGTACCCTCGAGTTTGGCCATGCCAACCTCATCCCAGCATAACGGCGTACGACACCTCCTCCCATACAATGCCTCGTATGGAGGCATGCCGATGCTTGCCTGATAACTGTTGTTATAGGCAAACTCCACGAGTGCTAAGTGGTTGTCCCAACTTCCTTGAAACTCCAATGCACAAGCCCTCAGCATGTCTTCTAAGATCTGTATGACTCTTTCAGACTGCCCATCCGTCTGTGGGTGGAAAGCAGTACTGAACTTCAGCCTCGTTCCCATAGACTCCTGAAATTTCGGCCAAAAACGTGACGTGAATCGTGGGTCTCTATCAGATACAATGGTGACTGGGACCCCATGTAGCCTCACGATCTCATCCGTGTACAATTTGGCCAACCTCTCAAGTGGGTAAGTAGTGTTGATAGGTAAGAAGTGCGCACTCTTCGTGAGCCTATCCACAACAACCCAAACCGCATCATAGTTCCGAATCGTCCGTGGTAAACCTACCACGAAATCCATAGTCACATGTTCCCACTTCCACTCAGGAATGGAAAGTGGTTGTAACAAGCCTGCTGGATGCTGATGTTCTGCCTTAACTTGTTGACAAGTAAGGCATCGACTGATGTACTCGGCTATCTCCCTCTTCATTCCAGACCACCAGTAACTTTCTTTCAAATCACGGTAAATTTTCGTGCCCCCCGGGTGCATGGCATAAGCCGATGAATGAGCCTCCTCTAAGATGGACTTTCGGAGCTCATCATCTGACGGTACACACACTCGGTCACGAAATAACAAGAGACCATCATCTCTTTCCCTGAAATCCTCCACCGGTCCCGCTTGCATGCGTTCCCGGATCTTCATAATTTCTTCGTCAGCTTCCTGACCCTTCTTGATCTCATCAAGTAAGGTAGGTCTCACCTCAAATCGTGCCAGTAAGGCACCATCGCTAGATACCTCCAATTGGGCTCTTAATGCCCTCAAATTAGCTAGCAATGCCCCAGACGAGCTCTTCCGGCTCAAGGCATCTGCCACCACGTTTGCCTTGCCTGGGTGATACTCTATCACTAGATGGTAGTCTTTTATCAACTCCATCCACCGTCTCTGTCTCATGTTTAGCTCCTTCTGAGTAAACACGTATTTCAAGCTCTTGTGATCAGTGTATATGTGACATGTCTCCCCGTAGAGATAATGTCTCCATATCTTCAGTGCAAACACCACGGCCCCCAGCTCCAAGTCATGAGTAGGATAATTCACCTCGTGCTTCTTCAACTGTCGTGAAGCATAGGCGATTACCCTCCCATTCTGCATCAACACGCATCCAAACCCTTGGATGCTCACGTCACTATAGACATCGTACCCCACACCCTGTTTGGGTAATGCAAGTACCGGTGCCTCGGTCAATCTCTTCTTCAGTTCGATGAATCCTTTCTCACATTTGTCATCCCATATAAACTTAGCTCCCTTTCGAGTGAGCTTCGTCAACGGCGACGCCAAAACAGAGAACTTTTCCACGAACTTTCTGTAATAGCCCGCCAATCCAAGAAAGCTACGAATTTCCTTGACATTCTTTGGTCTCTCCCATTCGGTAATGGCTTCTATCTTCTTGTTATCAACAGCAATTCCCGATCCTGAAACCACATGCCCGAGAAAGCCAATTTCCTTTAGCCAAAATTCACATTTAGAAAGTTTGGCATAAAGTTGCTTCTCCCGTAGTGTCTCAAGAACAAGTATCAAATGCTCCTCGTGCTCTTCTTCACTCTCCGAGTAAATCAAGATATCATCTATGAACACAATCACGAACCGATCCAAGTATTTATGGAATACTCGGTTCATCAAGTCCATGAATGCCGCTGGGGCGTTTGTTAACCCAAACGACATAACAAGGAACTCAAAATGCCCATACCTTGTGCGGAAAGCACTCTTTGGTATGTCGTCTTCCTTAATCTTCAATTGATGGTACCCCGACCTCAAGTCAATCTTTGAAAACACGGTTGCTCCTCGTAGCTGATCAAACAAGTCATCAATCCTAGGCAAGGGATACCTATTCTTGATTGTGACCTTGTTCAGTTGACGATAGTCAATGCACATTCGAAGTGTCCCATCTTTCTTCTTCACAAAAAGAACTGGTGCTCCCCACGGGGAGTGGCTTGGTCTAATGAAACCATTATCCAAAAGCTCTTGCAATTGGGTCTTCAACTCGTTAAGTTCAGCGGGTGCCATACGGTATGGCGGTATGGAGATTGGTTTGGTACCGGGCTCGACCTCGATCACAAATTCAATCTCTCTATCGGGTGGAAGTCCCGGTAAATCTTTTGGAAAGACATCCGGATACTTACAAACCACCCTCACATCGTCGATGTTCGTTTCTTCTTTGGTTTTGTCAACGACGTATGCTAGATATGCGTGGCATCCCTTTCTCATCATACTTCTCGCTCTCACGGCGGATATGATACAGCTATTTGATCTCCCTCGATCGCCCTCGAAGCGTAGGGTCTCCCCATCATTGCCTTCGAGTTCAAGAACCTTCGTGTAGCAATCTACCCTAGCATGGTTCCTTTCTAGCCAATCCATCCCTAGGATTGCATCGAATTCAATCATGCTCAGCGGTACGAAGTCACACGTCAAGGCTTGACCATTAACCTCCACCCCACAAGATGGATAGTAACAAGTTCTTTCCACGTCGTCCCCTAGTGGTGTTGACACCACTAAGGTTTGCATCAATGGTGCGGATTCAACTCCCAATCTCTTGGCGAACGCTTCATTCACAAATGAACGTTGCGCCCCGGGTATCGATAAGGATTCGCGCATCCTTCCCATTAATCTTTAGTGTCCCTACATTCATGAACCATGTAAGACATCTTTCCTACCCTCCCTACTCATTTATAGAAGGTTACAATGTTCACACGCACGTTAGGGATCAAGAAAAGGTCTCAACGTCGCAAAACGGTGCGAAAAATCGCACTTCGGTAATCTGGGTGCCAGGCACGGCGTGCCTGGGGTAGGCACGATCGTGCCTGGCTTGGGAAAAAGTCCAGGACGCTACTGCCTTGGAGACACGATCGTGCCTGCCTTAGGCACGATCGTGCCTGGGTCGGGGAAAACTCTGGGAAGCTACTGCCTTGGAGGCACGATCGTGCCTGCCTTAGGCACGATCGTGCCTGGGTCGGGGAAAACTCTGGGAAGCTACTCCTTGGAGGCACGATCGTGTCTGCCTTAGGCACGATCGTGCCTGGTTTGGGGGAAACACCTGGGGAGCTACTGCCTTGTAGGCACGATCGTGTCTGCCTTAGGCACGATCGTGCCTGGGCCGGGAAATTCCTGGGCAGCTACTGACTTGAAGGCACGATCGTGTCTGCCTTAGGCACGATCGTGCCTGGGTTCCAGCCGCCTGAAGTTGCCCGAAATCCCCCGGTTTGACCCCAAAACCTTGTGCAATGATCCTAGCGATTAGTAACCTCAATTTATGGACTAATTAAGGATAAAACACTAGCATACGAGAGGCAATACCTGCAACGGAATCCGGGTTAGCTTGAGCATCCGCCTCCGTCATCGCGTAGACCCTAGCTTGAGTCCTTCCTTGATTCACGGACGGCGCATTGCTTGCGCTTGCTCCCCCTTGCCCCCTGGACGCTTGTGAAGTCCCGGCTTGATTCCGTGTCCCGGTATTACCACTACTTGGTCCCGATGACCTTGCCCCACCCAATTGTGGGCAATTCATCTTCAAGTGCCCGGTGTTTCCGCATTGGTAGCATCTAGGAGGGTCACGACATTTCCCCAGGTGGTTCCTCTTGCAATTCTTGCAACGAGTCCCCCCCGAGGCTTGTGATTGCCCGCCCGGGCCTTGACTTCCCCTAGATGGCAGTGGGGGTGTCCGAAAGGATCCTCCTCCCCCATGGTTCCCCTTTTTGCTAGGACCTTGAGGTCCATGGTTCTCCCACTTTCTCTTCTTCGCCTCTTCGGCGTTTTTCAACTTTCTCTCTTCCCATTCTTTCTCTCCTTTCAACCCTTGCTCGACCACTTGGCTAAAGGTCATGTTAGGCAACTGTGTTGCCCTCTCACGCACCTCCAGGTCTAAGGCATCCCAGAAGTGATTTACCATCCGGTTCTCGTCACAGACATACTCCGGTATGAACTCCGCGAGCTCCCTGAATTTATGTTCAAGTTGCCTCACCGTCATCTTGCCACCTTGGGTCAGGAGGGTATACTCTCTCCTTTTAGCGTTCACCTCAAAATCAGAATAATATTGGGCAAAGAACTCCTGTCGGAAATTCTCCCAAGTCACGGTATTGCCATACTTTCCCTTGGCTCCATCCCACCATGTGGATGCCATCCCTTCAAGCAATCTCACCGCCACCCTTAGTTTAAATTCGGGGGTGAGTTGCATATCAAGGGCTGCCTCGTTCAACCTCTTGATCCATTCCGCGGCGACCGAGATGTCGCCTGCTCCGTTGAAGGGTTTGCACCCCAAGTCCCTAGCCTCTTTAAGAAATTTTGAGATCCTTATGATTGGACCTCCATCACCCGGACCCCATGTGGTTCAATGTGGGCCCGAGAGTCGCCATGGCTTCTTCCTCTTGAAGCCTCACCCGAAATTCGCCCTCCCCGGCGCCTTCGGCGTTCCCTCCTTTCCTCGCGCTCCCGTTGATATTGTTGGAGCAGCGCCTCTATTCTTGCTAGGGAGTCATTCTCCCCCTCTTCATTGCTCACATCATCGTCATCCCCTTCGTAAGGGGTCTCAACCGGCTCGGTCCCCGGTTGGTAAGTCGAGTCCTCATAGGACCAGTAGGTTTCACTTTCTGTGTCGACATGACCGTCACTCACGGTCTGTGATCGGCCTCCACGGCCAGCTCCTCTAGATGCCCTAGAGGTCCTTCGACTGCCCTGTCCAGTCTCCTCTGGTACACGGCCGGTCGGGTTTCTCCTAGTAATCCTGCCACCACGGTCCATTTCTGAAAGAAATTGGGAAAGAGTCGTTAGACTCGTATCAAATGTCAATTGACGGATAGGTACTTAAGACACATTTTGGCTCGAGTCACTGCCATACCAATTGCTAAGGGTACCATCTTAACAATTAGAGACCTTGCAACCCGAGTACCAAAAGCTCTCCAAGTACAAAACTTCTATGCTCATGGTTTTCAAAATCTTTTCAAAAAGAGAATTTTGAGACTTCATTATGAAGTTTATGGACTAAGGCTCTGATACCAACTTAATTGTCACGCCCCGGACCTATCCGAACACGTCAACAACCCGCCGTACAATACGAATAGTCAACCGCAGTCCAACACATTCATATCATACAAGGCGTCTTGAATATCATTCACACATATACATCCATAAACAAACATAATAAGTAATTCATAACGCAGCGGAAAACATTGTTTAAAACAAAAGGGCCACACATGGCTATTCATGAGCACGCAGGCTCTATTGTAAAATATCCATGAGCATGTTTATTAATGTTTAAAAAAACAGAATGGAGGAAGCACGAACCAAGTCTTCCCTCCTAGATGAATCTCTCGAGCAACGAGCACAGGAAGCAAGCTCTAGCCTCAACCTGAAAAATGGTGGTGGGACGCCCCCGAAGGGGTCAGCACTCTATAGGGCTATAAAGTGCTGGTGTGGATGGCATCTAATAGATATACAACAAGTATTTCAAACACAAGACCCTCAAATAGGGTGATAATATAATCTAGGCCGTAACCCCAAGTTACCCCGTTTTAAAATATACTTACTTTATATATAAAGTCAAGTAGTCGGCCCGTAGGCCCAAGGTTTGTTTATCAAACATACCCCAAAATCCCGTGACCCCTAGTCACAACAATACATAGGGTTCAACCCCAACACATATGTTTGCATCTCGAGTCCAACTCGACTACATCACCATGCACCTTAATTAACATAAGCTAACTACTCCACCGTGCATTTCTTGAGTCCAACTCAACTACATCACCATGCACAACAATCATCTCATCATGTCTACCCAATGCAATTCTATGAGCACGGGCTCAAGTACATCTCCTTACATTGGCATAGACCCCAATTCCTAAGCACTCACTATGCCTAGAATTGTAATATCAATAATCTATTTTGGGACATCCCTACGGACTGCCCAACAATGGTCTTAGCATCACATTACATCAAATTTGTCACTTGCATCACAATCAAGTACCTCAATTATAATCAAATCCTTAGATTCAATTCCCTTAACAATTACAACAATCATTAACTAGTATTTCAATACTATTAAGATTTTTCTTATCCATCATATATTCCATTTGTATAACCCTACATATTTAGAGATATGTAGCAGCAACTTAATCATTCAATGCAATACATAAATAATCATTTATGTATCTATACAATTCACACATGGATAAAATGACTATTTCACCCAATAGTTCACTTAATCCCATTTTTATCAATACTTTACCAAATCATTTCTCATTTCATTCTTTGGAAAGTAGATCAATATTTCATCAATAATTTATCATCATAATCCATGGAAAACATAATTTGAGCATTTAGGTAATCTCATGCTTAACCTACAAGTTGTAAGCAACTAGATGTCGATCCTCACCTCAAATGAGCTTTAAAACTTTCCTCCTCGATCCAATGACCAAAGCCTCGGCCAAGGAAGATTGAGAACTGGTTCCTTGCTTGAAAATGGGTGTTAAACAGCTTCCTCAAGTTGCTAATTCAACCCCTAACCGTTGATACGAAAACAGCCCCTAGAACGGGTGTTTTCCGGCTAACTCGATTCCTAATTTTCCAATATTTGCTCTAGGTTAGTATCTAACCTTTACATCAATAAAAATAACTTTACAAGGACATATTATACACTTGGATTAGTGTACAATAGTCCCACCAATCGTTCATATCATTTGGAAAATGAATGGAAAGGACTTGGGATTAACAACTCACTTAGAAGAGTAAATCCGTTCCTGCGAGGTCGCGTTCTGCTTGGGCGATTTGGACGCCTTCCTCTACTCCGATTGATGCAAACCAGACCTTCACGGATTCCTCGTCTTGAGAGCTTTCTTTTGGTATCTCACACGCCTTAATTGGATTGGTAGAACTCGAGATATCAACCAAACAGTCTCAGCACTCTCACAGCTCGGGTTCACAGACCACTGCTCGTTCCAGATCGATTTTTGGATGATTACTCTCTCCTATCGAACAGAGAACACTCAATTATAAAAATAGACTTCAAAAGCTATCCAAGGACACCTCATTCACCTTATTCGGCCGAGTATAACATCACTCATGAAGGGAGACAACCAGCACCACTCTTTTGTGCGAAAATTGACTAGGTGGGGTTCCCTCTTGTTTCCTTTGTCAAGTCCAGCCCCTAGAGTCAGCTATGGCAGTCTCCTAACCTTATTTATCTTGTCTTGCAGGTGGAAAAGAAGGGATGGGGCGCAGCATGTGTTCCCCAATTATTTTTTTGGGAGCAAAACATTAATCAATACATCCAAAAATGGAAGAATGGGTCCTATTGTTTTATCTTTTGTCAAAGATGTCTTTTTGTACTCATCCTAATTTATTTAGAACAAGTCAACTTCCTACATAACATTATTGATCTCCAATATGTGTAGGCTCATCTCAATAATTTACTTGATGGATAATATAGAAGGAAAATCCTACTCCCATTATTTGGCTCAATAATGCCAAAGATGGGGTTATAGGCATTTGTACTCTTCTTTAATCATCCTATCACTTATTTTGACATTTGTCATTCATATTATTGGGCTACAAGCCGTGTGGGTCGCCCCCGAGTGGGCCTACGACGCCGTCCTCAAATATTTGCTATTTTAGCGGGTTGAGCCCAAAATAATATATGGGCTGCCCGCCCTTCCTCAACTTGTCTTGAAACGTTATGTATAACTATTTAGATAATGCTAGGATCTTTTATTTATTAATAAGGCCCAAACGAGTATTCGCAAGCCCAACACTAATGTACGAGTTCGAGCGGTATAATAATCGATCATGAATTACGTAAGACATCAATCGTTTTACATACGTTTGGGAATCAGAAATCCAATACATAAACTTTGAATTCTAAATCAAATTTTCAAGGACGTTCGGGAGCGGTGTCACATCATAGGCATGCCACCTTATCCGGAGTTGGGGAAAAATCCCATACCGCCCATGTGCGGAACTTGAGGAGTTTGCTCAGGGTGGAATACGTACGGGGGAGGAAAAGGCTGTTGCGGAGGCTGGAATCCGGCACGCATGAACCATTCCATCTCCTCCAACCGGGCTTTTGTGGCCTCATCTGCTTTCCGCTGCTCCTCCCATCGCCGTTCGTGCTCCTCCAGTTCACGCAGCATTGTAGCAATACGAGGATCTTCTCCCCGCCTTGACCGAGAAGAGGAAGCGCCGGTGCTTCGATCATACAAAATCCGTTTTCAAAATTTGAAAATAGTCACGGTCTTAGTCACGGCTCTGACCGTGACTAATCCGGTCAGCTGCGGCTCTGACCGTCAGGCCTGCGGCAACATTTACGAAGGGTTTAGTCACGGTCAGGACCGTGACTATGACCGTGACTTTAATGACCGTGTCCAATACGCGTCCAACACGTGTTAATGACGTGTAAATGACGTGTTAATCAAAGTAGTCACGGAACTAGTCACGTCCATGGCCGTGACTAAAGTTATCCGTACATATTACCGTTGCGAATTAAGTTAAGGGAGGTGAAAAAATTAAATTTTAATCATAGTCACGGGTATAGTCACGGATGTGGCCGTGACTAAGTCGTCGGAATCAAATAAACTTCGCCGGAAACAGAAACGGGCCTATCGGAGGACTTAAGTCACGGGCCAAGACCGTGACTAATTGTAGTCACGGCCATAGTCACGGTCCAGACCGTGACTATTTTTTTTTTTAAATTTCCGTGACTAGTCCGTGACTAGACCGTGACTAAACTAGTCACGGACCAAATCCGTGACTAAAATCCGTGACTATAACGCTATTTTTTTTGTAATGTAAGTCCTATCCTAGTATGATATAACGGATTATTGCACAATTATAGTGTACATGAGATAATGGCTTCATGTATCATCCATTCGGTACGTATTATTGTATGATTGGTACGTATTATTGTATGATTTAGTAGGTTCATACTTCGAGTGTTACCTGAGAAAGTCATTACTTGAGTATGGGTCGAATTTGTCTCGAGGTACTGCCCATCGTGAATAGTTTTGTACCCATTTCTACAATGGTACAACTTGGATTATACACTCATTGGTATACAATCTCATAGCCTTGTATGGTTGTTACTCCAGTGATAACAAGTACGGTTATAAACAACTTGGCTTAATCATGATTTCGACTTGAATGATACGTATGTTTTCCCTATATGGTCATACGTATGAATTAACAATCTTCGTGACTATGACAAATAACATTAGAATTGTCTATTTTAAGTGAAAACTATTATGAATACATTTAAATTTCGTACAATTACCATATTGTAGTCACGAAATGGTTTATCAGTACGGTATGAATCTTACTAAATTATTCACTGTAATAGAAGTCCACAATTGAGTTAGATAAGTCCACTATAATACCACTACTCATAGTCTATGTACTTAATACTATATGATAGGTACATAATATGAATCCAGTCATTTACTAAAATCTTGTTTGTGACTACGGGAAATTTTGGATCATTTGGTATGCTAACAAATTATCGACAATCATTGACTACTATTACACCGTTATCTCAAAGACTACTCATATTTAACATTTATGGACTCAATATACCCATGATTGTAAATTATATATACTGACTTGAGTATGATACACAATATACTCAATGATACATCAAATTTTGGGTTCCCAACATACTCCGAGTTGTATGTTAACCGAGATCACTGTATATTGAGTTCAACTGTGAATAAGGAAAGTCCAAATTAGTAAGTAAACTCACAATATACAATGGGCAACATTTATATGGTGCCAACCATTAATTATTCGGGTAAATTTGTTATGGGGATAACATTGTGTACCGTATAAATGTTGATATGACCCAACGTTATTGCCATAGCCAATTTTCTATGGATATTTAGGTTGAGCTTAAAATTATTGGTACAATTGCCTATGTGGGTTTGGACCAAGAATGTAATCTACATGTAATTGATCTTACGACTTCAACAACTCGAAGTATCTTAGCGGAATGGTAACATTTACTTATAGGGAGTCATGCCAGTATATATTATACTATAACGATATGGTCCACATTTAGACCTATGGGTTACAAACTACCCGGATATATTACAAACGAGTGTTACCGACATTTACCAAGTAGTGTATACTCTACTTTCCCTAGATCAATTGACCCGTATGGACAAAATATCTCAAGATCATATGAATTGTTGGCCGTATATTCAAGTTACTATTGGGTTCACTGCTGTTCTATCACAATTCTATTGGCTAAACGGCCAGGGTTTTTACGAATTCTTTCTATGGCTTTTACCATGGAAGTGTGTTAGTAATAGAATTGTTTACGAGATTATATGAGACGTACCCTATTGGCCAAGATCATACGAAGTCGTAATATATTATGGGTCGCACAATGGATGTAACATTATGTTGTACCATATATGATAAACATAAATCCTAATGATGTCGTGAGGATGTTTTCTTTTGGACTGTTTTCAGTCCCAGACCAGACCAGACCAGACTTAAACAGATCAGACCAGACCAGACCAGACTTAAACAGATCAGACCAGACCAGACCAGACTTAAACAGACCAGACCAGACCAGACCAGACCAGACTTCCGTAGTTATAAAATACATAGAGACCAGACGTTTACCAGACCAGACCAGACCAGTTCAGACTAGACCAGACCAGATCAGACTTAAACAGACCAGACCAGACCAGACCAGACTTAAACAGACCAGATCAGACCAGACCAGCAAATTTCAGTCCAAAAGAAAACATCCTGAGTGATCATTGAACGAAACAAGTAATGGCACGATGTAGGTAGACATAGTATGACTTTGGTGAACCCAACTCCCTTATGAGTATACAATCCACGGCAGATGTAAATCCTGTTACTTACTATAAATACATACACCGTAACAACCTAAGTCACTAAAATACACATTAGGGTTACTATTGTCAATAACTCAATATGATGCCTTATCCGGGTATTTTACTATATCCTACAGATAACGTTTACACGGGAAATTGTAATATGTTACAATATTTGATAGTATATACATCTGTGGAGTACTCTTCCGGTCAGGTATACCTGACCGGAGCCCCGTCCGATCTCCTCCATTTGGGGGCCTTTCCGGTGGTATATTTTGCTCAAATTTTTTGTGTAGGTTCCTCATCAAGTGTAGTTCATCCATACCAAATTTCAGCCAAAAATTCAATCGGGAAGGTCGTCAAATGATTTTTGCAAGTTAACTGGTCCGGAAAATACATATTCCGGACCAGTTAACTTGCAAAAATCATTTGTCGACCTTCCCGATTGAATTTTTGGCTGAAATTTGTTATGCATGAACTAGACTTGATGAGGAACCTACACAAAAAATTTGAGCAAAAAATACCACCGGGAAGACCCCCAAATGGAGGAGGCCGGACGGGGGGAGTGGTCCGGCCTGGCCGGACCTGAATATTAGTCTACATCTGTGTACCCCATCTCGTTAATAGAAATACACATATGGGATAATTAACTCTTATCATAATGGTATTGGCATAATGTCATAATGATTTACAATGACCTTAGTAACATTTACTATGACTTGTACTGTGATTTTCTAAGATTGTTAGTGATATCCATGGTACTATAAGTATTACGGGTTCACCAATTTACCCTATTTGGTGATGAGAATCATACACAAATTCATAGGCTACAAACCACTCATTTGATTGGGAAAACATATGTTACGAATTACAATATCTTTTAGTCGTATTACTCAAATTTTCTATTCAAAATTGCGATAGGTAAACGAGAATATTGGGTTATACATAGCCTGTAAAATATTTTGTGTATATCCGACTTGTACTAGTGATACAAGTAATCCCCAATAGAATCACCCAATAGAATCAGTTGTATCCAATTGAACAAATAGATTTTCATAAAGACTGTCAACAGCCTAATGACAGTCTAGTATATTGTTTAAGTTTTATAGTACGTATAAAACTTGTGGGATATAGACTACATATTACTGAGTGAGTCAATTATTTGAAAATTATGAAGGGAAATGTATATATGGCTTAACAACGATATAAGTACAATTAGGAAATTCAATTAGTATATCTATTTTTAACTATTCAGGTCCATCACTAGGTCTCTACATCAAGTTTACTATCAATGTACCCAGTTAGTATAAAATTTGTTAATGGGTTATAAAGTTTGAGATGGTATTACTCGAAATGGTTCAATCCTATTGGGTAATTTTCTAATGTAATAACTGTTTGTACTGGGGAATGCACTAATTCATAACCTGGATTTGATAATTAGTTCTTGTATGTATATTACATGAAAATATATATGTTTATCCACGTTGCAACTCTAGTGTAATTTAGTCTAATGATATCCAACCCGACTAGATATACCCATGTCTAAAACCACTGTAGTATCTCAAACTTGTCCCCAGGTATCCAATGTAACACAATCGGTAGTTGCATATCATGACTAGAGAATAGATGTTTTACGAATACTTGCCGAGTAAAACATACAGTTTTACTCATAGATTTGGTAATATAATAACCATTATAATTATCAACAATAACCTCAATTTGTCATGAGGTATGTTTCCCAAATTTGGACTAGTTAGGGTAACATGCAAATTCTCGTGTTCTAATACTCGATTTGCTAATGGTTAACAATACCCTGTATAGATAATCTAATTATCTGGTAATCCATATAACACCCGTTGTGGAATATACCCCAAACATTAGGTTACTAAGTGCCCAAATTTAGATATGCCGATTAGATCACGAGAGAATTCCCTAAATAAGAGTAAAAAAGTTTTGAAATTCCAAAATAGGAGTATCATGTTTTTATTCCCTAAATAGGAGTAAATTTCTGCCAAGTTTGGAAATTACAAGGCTTTAAACATGGCATTTTTTTTCCAAACTTGGCAGATTACTCCTATTTAGGAAATAAAAAACATGATACTCCTATTTTGGAATTTCAAAACGTTTTTACTCCTATTTAGGGTAATTTCTGTTAGATCATAACCCCACCATGGTTTTCAGTACCATGGTTTCAATGCAAACTTCTAACACAACTCATTAATATTTACTCGTTTGAAGTAATCAAGTCTTGGACCGAATTTGATGGTAATACCATCAAATTCTCTATAATCTTGTTCATATATACTACAGTATGTGTCGTATGTTGATATACGACATATTTAGCCCAATTTATTAGTGTATCTATACACTAAGGATGTTTTCTTTTGGACTGAAATTTGCTGGTCTGGTCTGGTCTGGTCTGGTCTGTTTAAGTCTGGTCTGGTCTGGTCTGGTCTGTTTAAGTCTGGTCTGGTCTGAACTGGTCTGGTCTGGTCTGGTAAACGTCTGGTCTCTGTGTATTCTATAACTACGGAAGTCTGGTCTGGTCTGGTCTGGTCTGTTTAAGTCTGGTCTGGTCTGGTCTGGTCTGGTCTGTTTAAGTCTGGTCTGGTCTGGTCTGGTCTGTTTAAGTCTGGTCTGGGACTGAAAACAGTCCAAAAGAAAACATCCTAATAAAGGCTAATACAATATGAGTATTTTGTCATTCAAGATTTGGTGAAACATTAGAGACTAGAGTCTATCCAGTGTACTCAGTTAAACTACGAAGGTATAATTGAAGAAATTGTACATAGTGTATTACATTTATGACCCAATGGTTAAGTTCTTGGAGTTATACAACTTCTTGTTCACGACTCGGCTCAGTAGAACGGTGAGTCTATACTCAATATTTCAGTGTATCAATTTAACATACAAGTCGTTATATATAGGGTTGCAATATGTATCACATTTAACCATTAGAATGTGATTTGTACCAATAACGGTAGGGCATTCCGACTTAAGGTAATAATTGAAGACTATCATTACAGTATCATAGGTTAACTCAAGTAAGTCAGATCAATACCGAGTCTTAGTCGTATCACATTAAATGATCTCAATTCGAGTTGCAATGGGTTCCCTATGCAAAAATACACAATCCCCGTTCACGACTCAAGTCCAAATTATGAATAGAAAAAAACATTTCAAGTATGGACATTCAAATTGTGGCTATAATAGTAGTAGCCATGATTTATATTCGTGGAATAGAAAAATTGCAATTCCCAGTTGAGTAAAATTATCTACATGTTAATAGTTATACGAAGTATAATCATTATACCTTGATGCCATAATTGGTAAAAAATATACGGACAATTATTAATTAATATGACATTTTAAAACCTTTGGATAATATCTAACAAGGGATTTAGTTCGCAATCTCATGAAATACACCAGGGTATTTATGTCTTGTTAGTGAACCAATGAGTACACCTATTGGAACATTTGTACATGTAATAATGCCCATCATCTATATGTATGATCGGCATTCTGTTCCATTTAACCCATGATCCAGGAAGGCTATTAGTAGATCTATAGGTGTACTATTTCTCATACAAAAACGGTTATAAAACATCGCATATGGATCATGGGCACTTCAATGAGTGGATTGTGAACAATATAATTTAACTCTATGTACCCAACTTAAGCAATGTTATAGTTCGGTATATACTCAAGTTTACGATCATAGGCTATCATTTAAGATGGATAGCAATTATTAAAGTTACCAAAATATTATTGGTATATATATAATACGTGAAAATACATTATAAAGTATTGTTGATGAATACTTTATACAAAATATTGGTTCCGATTATAGTATTATGTTATAGCCTTACCATTACAGTAAGGCTATAACTAGGATACAATCTTATATTAGTTTTATTACTATACCCAATTATCGGTAATTAATATGTAAGCCATCAATTGTAATATACGTATTTGGAAATATAAACTGTGTGGTATCTCCTGTGATAGGTTATGTATCCAGCTATTTGGTATTTTATCCCTATGAGAATGGGTTACTACTATCAAATTATGGATCAATGTTATTGCTGATTATTACTACAAGGGTTTTATCTGATCAGTATAACAATATATCGTAGACTTACTCTCATAGTAATAATATGTAATTAGGATGATTTTATTTATATAACTCTATAGTTGACCGAATACTATATATCTAAAATCGATAATGATGAAACGGTTAGCAACACAAGAGAGGGGGTGAATTGTGTGTGTGTAGAACCGTGGCAGTTTTTCGCCAAGTTCTAGTGCGGGGTATAGGGAATTACGAAATAGTAAAGTGCACAAGAATTTAACGAGGAAAAATCCCTTGGCTCAAAGGGATTAAAAAACCTCGACCCACTACAAGAAAAAGTGTTATTTGCGTCCAACTTTTTTGTGTCGACTAAAGTGGACGCAAATAACTACTCTTTTGCGTCGACAAGTGGACGCAAATGGTATTAAATAAAATCCCGCCCAGGCCTGGTACAATTTCATTATTTGCGTCGCCTTGTCGACGCTAAAAGAGTTTAATTATATTTGTGTCAACGAGTGCCGACGCAAAAAACGAAATGTAAAAAAGTCGGGCGCTCAGCGTCTACAAGCCCAAGCTTGTAAGCCCAACACACAACACACTTACCCTAAGCCAACTGCGAAATGAACCTACGACGAGGATGAAGGAGCTAGCAGCTGCGAAGACAGCGAAGTGAACCTGCGTCCTGCGAGGAAGACGTCAACCGCGCCGCCTACGTCGTCCGCCAGACCGCCGCTCCACCCAGCTGTGACCTGCCGCCCTGCATCCGCCTCTGCGCTTCCCTCCGGGCTCCAGCCTCCAGCCGGTCCAAGTAAACTCCAATTGGACCAATTCTCCGAATTCTTATTCTGTTTTAGATTTTAGTCGATTATTACTAACTGATTACTTATTTTATGGCATCTTGTTTTGCTTGTTCTTTAACCGTTCTTTCTTTTGAACGATGAGTAATTTTCTAAACCGAGTTGTAATAGGTTGTGTTAATTGTGAGAACCATGTTCTTACATTTGAATAAGTATTTTTTTGTTATTCTAAATCACGAAAGAGTAATTGCCTGAGATATGATTGGTTCAATTTATAATTAATAGCTTATTTTCTGTCTGCTTTATCTTTTTTATTACTTGAATATATATAATTGGTTTACTTGATTGGTGTAGTCTATGAAATCGTGTGTTCGTTTTATCTATTGAAGCAGTTAATTATACAAGCTTATATCATCATTCTCAAGTACTTTACATGGTCATTATGTGATAGTTATTAAAAAGGCGTTCTTAAGACAGTCATTTATTTTGAATTGCTTGTATTGTTCCTGAATAAGTCATTTTATTTGGAATTGCTTGTATTGTTCCTGAATAAGTCATTAAAACTTATGGGTTATTTCAGTAAAATGATTATTTGTTTATTTGCTAGTTGTTTATATTGAACCCCTAAAAATATGATAACAGCAATTTTGTGCATTGAACCCTTAAAAAACTGTTAAATCTAGAAAAAATTAAAGGGATCATACTTCATAAAGAAGGACCATTAGCTATGATATGGCTGGACAAATCCATCTATCGCACTTTAACAGGCTGATTAACACCTACACGTGTTTATATTTCTGATGAGTTGGCTATATTATTCAATTTAGATCCTTTTTGGGCACCTAAATGCCAAAACAGTTCCGGATGCAACATTTCCATGAACAAATTCTTCAATTTCTGTCAACGTTTACTGAGAGTGCATCTGATCATATAGTCGTTCGATAAATTGATTAGAATTTTTCGACAAAAAAAGAAGGGACTGAAAGCAAAGGTTGTCACCTGTGAGATAGTTGAAAATTTCCCATTTTATAAGGAGTGAGAAGATGAATTTCATGCTGCTTCTCTTCTTTTTCGTGTTGTAGCTAAAACGGAATCCCGATTTTTTAATAATATTAGCGTCGACAGAGTCGACGCAACAATGAAATGAAAAAAAATATAAAAAACGGGTAGTCTATAGCGTCTACGGTCGACGCTAATACTGAAATACAATTAAAGGAGCTTAGGGCGGAATACACTTCTCTATCGGTTAGGGCAGGACAAAACAACTATGGACGGTCTTCCTCCTTCCTGAGAGCTGGCCGGAAGAGTTCAAGAGTGCTTCTATGTGAAAGGGCAACATTAAGTAAAAGTAAAACTAGCCCTTTATTGCTAAATAGGAGTTATAAAAAGAATTACTTTGAGAATAAATACGTATTATATTAATTCTATCTTTCAAATAACTATAAATCATTGACATTTAAGAAGTGTTTTCATTTCCTTTTATAAACTAAACTCATTCACTAATCCTTGTATGATAAATTTATTGATAGAGTTTTGAAGTTGTTCTCTTTGAGGTGAGGATGCCGATGGATAAGAGTTGGATATATATAAAGAATCGATTATCGGAAGAGTATTGGAAGGATCTACAAGGTTTTATAGACTATGCAAAAGACTTTGTGAATGAAGAAGGAAATATAAGTTGTCCATGTAAACGATGTTTGAATGGAAAAATGCTTCCATTGAAAGACGTTAAGCGACATATCTTTGAATCTGGGTTTGATGTGACATATTCACATTGGGTTTTTCATGGTGAGCCACCTGAGATACCACCATATCTGAATTCAAATGTAGAAGATGAGGCAGAGGATGAAATGGCTGCAGTACTGAATGACATTGCAGGAGAAACTCGTGACCATGGCATAAGAGGTGATACCACATATAATATGGGTGATGAAATGCCTACTCAATTTGAGGATCTATTATCCGAGCTTCATACGGAGTTGTATCCAGGGTGCACTAAGGTTTCTTCGCTAAATTTTTTAGTAAAACTTATGCACTTGAAAGTACTCTATAAGTGGCCAAATGAGTGCATGGACTCGGTGCTAAAGTTGCTAAAAGATGATAATAAGTTACCAACTTCTCATTGCGAGTCAAAGAAAAAGTTGAGCAAATTGGGACTTGGCTACGAAAAGATTCATGTTTGTAAGTATGATTGTGCTTTGTTCTGGAAGAGTAATGTTGATTTGCAAACATGTCCAATTTGCAACACGAGTCGGTGGAAAAATGAGAGGGGGAAAAAAGTTCCATGGAAAGTTCTCCGCTATTTTCCATTCAAGGATAGATTGAGACGATTATTTGTTTCACGAAACACCTCCAAAGAAATGACATGGCATCAAAGGGGTAAATCAACTGATGCAGACATGATGCAACATCCAGTTGATGGCAAAGAATGGAAAGAGTTTGATGACAACTACCCTGACTTTGCTAGTGAACCACGAAATGTTCGATTGGGGTTATCTGCAGATGGATTTAATCCATTTGGAAACATGAGTTTATCATATAGTATGTGGTCAGTTGTTGTGGTGGTATACAATCTACCTCCATGGTTGTGTACTAAAGATCCTTATAAGCTTTTAACTTTATTAATTCCAGGACCATCTTCTCCTGGAAAGGATATTGATGTGTTCTTGAGACCTCTCATTGATGAATTAAAGGAGTTGTGGTCAGAAGGGATGGTTGTACATGATGGAGCTACAAACACGCGATTTCCTGGAAAGGTTTTGCTTGCTTTTCGTTCTAGTCCGACGTTCAAAAGTTATCCTGGATGTATAGTTAATGGAGTAAAGTTTTTGACTCACTGTCGGGATATGAACCGATCAACTCAAAATAGTGGAATTTCTGTGAAGGGGTCAGATGATGAAGTGTTTTATGGACAATTAGAGGACATTTATGAATTGAGTTACGGAGGTAACAATTCTGTTGTTCTCTTCAAATGTAAGTGGTACAACACAAGCTTAGATCGGCGAGGGAAAAGAAGGGGAACGAAAGAGTACAAGAATAAGATGAGCATATGCATCAAGGATTTTTGGTATGAAAATGAGCCTTTTATTCTTGCATCTCAAGCAGAGCAAGTGTTTTATGTTGAGGATCTTTACAATGGCCCACAATGGAGAGTTGTTGAACATTTTGTGCATAGACACATTTGGGACCTTCCCCCGGATCAAGAAGATAATATGTGTATTGTCCAAGATGTTGAGTCTTCGGGTATTGAATTGGATGTTGAAGTACCAAACTTAGACTCTATGTTATGGAATGACACAAATGTTTCACCAAATGTCGCTTCATCTGATGTGATTACTTTATATGAGAATCTTCAAAGTGGTTTTACTATCAACGAAGAAGATGAGTATGATGAAGATGGTGAAAGTGAGTTTTTAAGTTATGGTAGTGGTAATGAATACGATGATGATGATGGCAATGTTGCTGATGATGTTGATGATGATGATGATGATGATGAGAGCCTCAAATATATTAGCAGTGACGATGATTAAATACGAGGCCTTTTTATTGTTAATTATGCTTGGATCATTTGTACGCACTTTATTTGTTTAGATGTTTTTGCACGTGACTAAATGACTTAATGTTTTTCCGTATATTTTTATGGTTATTGGTTTCCGATGATGTTTGATTTACATTTAAATTATCCTTACATATGTATGCACATATATAGGTGTACTTTATGACAGGAACAATGGCTACATGTGCGGGTTCAAGTGGAGGATCCCAACCTCCACGAGATCCCCATAGAGTGCCATCTTCGTGTGAGTCAGGTATGATGTAATGCAAAACGGAAAACAAAATATAAATTATTCATGATCAATACTAAATTATATTTTGTTTAATGAATTTTATAGGTTCAGAAACACAGAAAACAAAACGGAAAGGGAGAGGTTCAGCCAAGGGAAACAACATTATGTTAGCCGTAGCTAAAGATGGAAAGATCAAAGTTCAATTTGATTCGGCAAGGAAAACGTGGAAGGCAGTAGGGCCAAAAGCTTCTTGGTGGTCAAGCGCAATAGGCATACACACTCGGGACTGTTGTGATCCGTTCTACGATAAGTGGGACGATGTTCCGGCCTGTCAAAAAGATATGATTCGACATAGGATGTTGGTAATTATTAAAAACCTGTCTTCTTTTCTTGTTGGGTTTATTGATTTAAATTTATTTATTTCTAATAGTGATCATGTTGGGTTTATTGATTTGAATTTATTTATTTCTAATAGTGATCATGTTTTACATATTGTAGGACTGGTTTGAGTGCGATAATGACAAGCTTTTTGATGAAGTATTGATTCGAGATGCTCGAGAGTCCTACAACGATTGGAAAAGTGATTTATCTGTGTATTTCAAGAACAAAGGAGGAATGCAAGCTAAGAGACCTATAAATGTACGAAGTGATGAGCAATGGCAGAAGTGTTGCGAGAGATTCAATTCTACGAAGTTCAAGGTTTAGTATGAGTATATTTTATTTTTATTATACAATTAAAGTTCTAATTTTTGACTTAGTTTCATGCTTACAGGAAATTTCTTCGAAAAACCTACAAAAGTGGGCATGGGAGAAAATCATATGCCCAATATATGCATGAAAAAGTAAGAAATGAGTCTTTGTTATTTCATTTTGAGTTGTGATATGTGGCAGTGATTGGGTGATTACATATATTTGTTATTGGTGTTTAATGACATATGAATGTATGATGTAATTTCCTTGGCAGTGTTTATGTTATATTGTAGTTTAATTGGGTGTCGTTTTTTGGTATGGTGTTGATTTTTTGTATGATTCATTGTATTTTTTTTTTGGTACAGTTTTGTTTCGGGGTGTCCCTAAGGCCTTAGTTTATATATAGTTTACCTCTCGTATATATTTAATAAGCACTATCTATATCGCTTAGTCGTATATTTTTGCTTTAGTTTTGCAGGTTTTTCAAAGATTGTACTTAGTAGTACAATCCTTAATGTTATGGTAGTGATTACTGATCGACCAATGTTAAAATTTCAAGCTACTAATTTAATGTTAATGTTACTTATTGATCATTCATGTTATTTTAGATATTGACAATTATAATGAATATTAAATAGGATGATCCAGAAACTGGTGAGCAATACTCAGCTCTTGAAAATTGGAAAGATCAACGTTTGACTCGTAGTGGTGAATGGAGAACAAAAGAAGCACATGAAAAATATGTAAGTATATTAAAAAATATTTTATTAATTGTAATCATAATGATATGTAACTATATGAATTGTAATATGATAGACTCAAATGAGCGAAGAGTACCAAACACAGCTAGGACAAACAGGGTCATCGTCTTCAATAAATGAGATTGATATTATGCACCGGAACTTGAGAAGATATCGCGGACGCCAAAGCGGATTGGGTCCTACCCTATCAAAGGGTGCATCTCGACAATTAGAAGATGGGGCTACTTCAACGTTCCAAGACCACCGGGATGTTCAAATAAGTGAATTGAAGGCAAATCAAGAGTTGATGCAAGCAAATCAGGAGTTGATGCTTCGTGCCCTACAACAATTTATTCCTGGCTTTCAACTTCCTTCACGTAGCTCCGCAAATGATGTTCCTTCGACATCAAGTGCTAACCAACCTGATCGGAGTCTCGATGAACATGATCAAGATTGATAACATCGAGTTGAATATGCTTTTTACTTTGTTAAGATGAACATGAATTTATTTATGTTTACATTTTGTGATGTTGTTTGTAATGATTTAATGAAACCGCGTTTTAGGATAACTCACTTTTACTATGGATATGGAATGAATTTAGTTGTTGTTGACATTTGTTGTGTTTGGACAGATTTTGGTGTTGGAAAATGTGTTAGTAAATTGCATTAAATGGTCATTTTGGGGCAATTTTTTGAGTGGGGTCCACTTCCGATTCGGGTCGGGTCAAAGTGGTTTCGGATTGTCCTTGTTAAGGGCTACAATTCGATACGTGGTACACTCAAAACGGATAACGGGTGAATGAAATATCGATTTTCGAAGTTTGCCCGTTGAAATGGGGGGTAGCAGCCGGCTGCTCTAGCAGCCCACTGCCGGCAGGATAGTCGGCAGCAGCCTGCTGCCGGCAGGACAGTCCGCAGCAGCCTGCTGCTGAGACGACTGCCGCAGCCCACTGCTGGGACGTTACAACTCCATAAATGCCCAACGTTCCTTTGCAATAAATGGACGGTTTTTTGGACTAGAATCAATGCCAACGTGCTGGACATTGATTACCAACGTTCATATCCATTAAACCTCCATTAAACACACAACAAATCTTCCCTATAAATGGCTGCAGGTGATTTGCAACAATACACCACTCACAAACGTACTCACGCAGTTTTTGAGCTCTAGAAAAACACCTCCAGCTTCCGAAATTCCTTCTGTGTTCTAAGCCTTGTTCTCGTTCGTTGGAACTCTAGTTTGAGTGCTAAACTATTGTTCGAAGTCATCGTATCCTGGGAAACGATCGTTGCAACGCTCCTAGCACCCCGGGAGGCAACGAATACGTTTTAAGGAAATCGTGCTTGGCACGAGCTTTGGCTTATTCTGCTTCATCTCATTTCTCATTTTTCCTTTAAGTCATTTTATTTAATTAATTTTATTAATTATTTTCTTAGTTTTTCGAAACACACCCAACAATCTTAAAACGTATTTCTTTTGTTAAGCTTGTATCATACGGATACAATCTTAAAACGTATTCGGTGATTGTTCTACTGCGGTAAACAATCTTACACTTGTAGTTTGTCACCTTGGTGAACGAACTTATTTTTGTGTTTCCGAAGAACGTAAGAAACGGAAAAATGACTTCTCAAGAAAATGAAAATGTTGTTGGGCAGAATGCTTTGAACGGTTTGAACGATAATCACTCTGAAAGCGGAGCTCCGGTGAACAATAGTTCACAACGCGGTGCATCTGCTTTGGTTAACCAAAGGGTTATCCCTATGGTGACCGTGCCGAGCAACTCTGTGGAGAAACCCGAAAAATTTAACGGGTTGAACTTTAAGAGGTGGCAGCAAAAGATGCTATTTTATCTCACTACTCTCGGCCTTGCAAGGTTCTTGACCGAGGACGCGCCGGTTGTAACCGGGAGTGAGGTAGATGTGCAATCTCTCAACGCGGTTGAGGCTTGGAAGCATTCTGACTTCCTTTGCCGAAACTATGTGTTGAACGGGCTGCACGATGCTTTGTACGACGTTTATAGCAAATTAGCTACGGCTAAGGAGCTATGGAATGCTTTGGACCACAAGTATAAAAGCGAGGATGCCGGCGCAAAGAAATTTGTTGTTGGTCGATTCCTTGATTTTAAAATGGTGGATTCGAAGACGGTCTTGAGTCAAGTTGAGGAGATGCAAATGATCTTCAACGAAATTCGAGATGAAGGAATGACAGTTGGTGAGTCATTCCAAGTGGCGTCTATTATTCATTTATTGCTGCCGGCTTGGAAGGATTTCAAGAACTACCTTAAGCATAAGCGAAAGGAAATGAACTTGGAACAATTGATCCTCCGTCTGCGGATTGAAGAGGATAACCGGAAGAACGATGGGAAACTCCCAATTGTTCACGGCGCCAAGGCAAACGTGGTGGAGCATGCAAAAGGCTCCAAAACCAAAAATAATGGGAAGAGCAAGCTCGGTCCCAAGGGAGGCGTTTCCAAGACAAAGTTCAACGGAAAATGCTTCAATTGCAATAAGAACGGACACAAGTCCTCGGATTGCAAGGCACCAAAGAGGAAGAAAGATTCTCACGTCAACTTGGTGCAAGGTGGGCAAAAGGATGAAGACATCATCCTAGCGGCTGTGGTTACGGAAGTCAACCTCGTTGGATCCAATTCCAAGGAGTGGTTTGTGGACACCGGTGCTACCCGACATATTTGCTCAAATCGGGAGTTGTTCACAACTTTCGAGCCATCTAATGGTGAGAAGGTGTGGATGGGAAATTCTGCTCACTCCGAGGTTGAAGGCGTGGGCAAGGTGGTCCTGAAGATGACTTCGGGCAAAGAGCTGACTCTTAACCAAGTGCTGTTTGTTCCGGAGATACGCAAAAACCTGATTTCCGGTTCGTTGTTGAACAAGCATGGATTCCGCATGGTTTTTGAGTCGGACAAATTAGTTTTGTCCAAGTCGGGAATGTATGTGGGCAAAGGGTATGCATGTGATGGGCTGTTTAAGCTCAATGTAATGACTATTATTAATAATAATAATAAAATCCCTTCTGCTTACTTGCTTGAGTCTTCCAATGTGTGGCATGGTAGACTAGGACATGTTAATTTTAATTCTATACGTAGATTAATTAACATGGAACACATTCCTAAATTCACAATTGATGTGAAGCACAAATGTGATATTTGTGTTGAGGCAAAACTAACGAAAACGTCTTTCAAATCGGTTGAAAGAAAAACGGAACCACTAGAATTAATTCATAGTGACGTTTGTGATTTCAAATCAATACAAACACGTGGCGGTAATAAATATTTTATTACCCGAAGCAATCGATAAATTCATTCTTTATAAGAATGAAGTGGAAAACCAACTTAATCGACGGATTAAAACGGTTAGGAGTGATCGAGGTGGTGAGTATGAAGCACCAATTGGTGACTTTTGCGCTAGTGTGGGTATAGTACACGAAAGTACCGCCCCCTATTCACCTCAATCAAACGGTGTTGCCGAACGAAAGAATCGCACATTGAAAGATATGATGAATGCGATGCTAGTAAGTTCGGGCTTGCCACAAAACATGTGGGGCGAAGCAATCTTGACAAGCAATTACCTTTTAAATAAGGTTCCCCAGAAAAAATATGATAAAACTCCGTACGAGTTGTGGAAAGGCAGACGGCCTTCCTATCAATATTTGAAAGTGTGGGGGTGTCTTGCTAAGGTGCTTGTACCAACACCTAAGAAAATAAAAATAGGTCCAAAAACGGTGGACTGTATTTTTATTGGATATGCACAAAATAGTAGTGCTTATCGGTTTTTAGTGTACGATTCGAATAATCCGGATGTACATAAAAACACAATAATCGAGTCAAGGAATGCATCATTCTTTGAAGACGTATTTCCATGCAAGTCCAACGATGGACCTAGCACGTCAAAACGAACATTTGACGTAGCTATGGAAAATACTAGCGAGGGATCCGGTGAAGAAGCCGAACCCCGACGTAGCAAACGTGCTAGAGTTGAAAAATCCTTCGGACCGGATTTTCTCACATACTTGGTAGAATTCGATTCGAATATTCTAACTTGTATGGTAGAAAATGAACCGGATTTTCTAACATGTTTGGTAGAAAATGAGCCACGGACTTATACGGAAGCCGTAACGTCTACCGAAGGACCTATGTGGAAAGAAGCCATCGAAAGTGAGGTGGATTCTATCCTAAAAAATCACACATGGGAATTGGTTGATCTTCCTCCGGGATGTAAACCTTTGGGATCCAAGTGGATTTTTAAACGTAAAATGAAACCGGACGGTTCCATTGATAAGTATAAGGCCAGACTTGTAATCAAAGGATACAAGCAACGTGAAGGCCATGATTACTTTGATACGTATTCTCCGGTAACGAGAATAAATTCCATTAGGATGATACTAGCAATTGCCGCTTTGCGGAATTTGGAAGTTCATCAAATGGACGTAAAAACCGCTTTTCTAAACGGCGATATAGACGAAGAAATCTATATGGAACAACCCGAGGGTTTTCGTGTTCCAGGCCAAGAAAAGAAGGTGTGTAAATTAATTAAATCATTGTACGGATTGAAACAAGCCCCTAAACAGTGGCACGAAAAGTTCGATCATGCAATGTTAATTAATGGGTTTAAAATAAACGAAAGTGACAAATGCGTCTATGTGAAAAGCACGGAAGACGGCTATGTCATTTTATGTTTATACGTGGATGATATACTCATCGTGGGTAGCAATAATCTAATGATTAATTCTACCAAAAGCATGTTAAATTCCAAATTTGACATGAAGGATATGGGGCTGGCCGATTTAATCCTTGGGATTAAAATAATTAGAGGACCTGACGGTCTTACGCTAAGCCAATCTCATTACGTTGATAAAATCCTTACCAAATTTAATAAGGATGATTATCAAGAGGCAAGGACGCCGTTAGATAAAAACGTACACCTGACCAAAAATCGTGGAGAGTGTATTTCTCAAGTAGAATACGCTAGGATTATTGACAGTTTAATGTATCTAATGAGTTGTACCAGGCCTGATATTGCCTTTGTGGTTAGTAAGCTAAGTAGATATACTAGCAACCCCGGTGATGAACACTGGAAGGCAATAGTAAGAGTTTTGAGGTATTTACGAAAAACCCAAAACCTTGGACTGCACTATGGAAGATATCCAGCTGTACTTGAAGGGTATAGCGACGCTAGTTGGATATCTGACATTAAGGACTCAAAGTCCACAAGTGGATATGTTTTCACTTTGGGAGGTGCAGCCGTGTCGTGGAAATCCTCGAAACAAACGTTAATAGCTAGATCCACGATGGAATCTGAGCTAATAGCCTTGGATAAGTGCACTGAAGAGGCTGAATGGCTACGCCATTTTCTCGAGGATATTCCAAGTTGGGAGAAGCCTGTCCCTCCAATATGCATACATTGCGATTGTCAAGCGGCAATTGGAAGGGCACAGAGCAATCTCTATAATGGTAAGTCTAGACACGTCCGTCGTAGACATAATACTATTAAACAACTTCTCACAACGGGTGTTATCACTGTTGACTACGTGAAGTCAAAGGATAACATAGCGGATCCGCTAACCAAGGCATTGGATAGAGAATTGTTGGAGAAGTTGTCACG